ATTCATTCATTGTTACACGACAGTTCTTTTTTTTAAATGAAAGAATTCCAGAAATTGAAACTATAAATGAATTTTTAATTGCCTGTCATTGCTGTTTCTTTACCCATAAGTCGAAATTTGTTTGTGTGTGTGGTTTACACTTTCATACACAATGTAAATATAGTTAAAGAGAGAAATACAACTGTGGAATGGTGGCACAGAGGGAAAGACATTTCTTTGAGTCTTTAGTATTTTAAACATGTAGAAAGTTGATCAGTACAGAAGGTTTATTCATAACATTAACAGTTGCTTTTTGAACAAGATACAATTGTAGCATCAGATTTTTGTTTTTTTCCTAAAATGTATAATTTGTCATTCTATTAATGCATTTTACTTCCTTGGTCTTTGAAGATGAAGGCTGTAAAATTATTTCTTACACCAGAAGACTCGGATGATCCTGTAAATAGAGCGAAGAAATATTTTCTTCAAACCGGTATTTAAAAGTTTTTTGCTTTTTTTACTTACTATACATCCATATAGAAACACAAATGTTCTGTCAGCAGGAGGGTATTCATTATAAAATAAATGTAATATGACATAGAATGTGGTACATTGTACATTTCATAATTTTATTTCAGGTCCAAAGCACTGCAGTTTTGATCTAACGCAAGCTTAAGTGATCTGTGCTTTTCAGCAATAGCTTAGGGAGAAATAATTTCTTTCATATTCCTGGCCTACATCCTCTGCAGCAATGCTGTTGTTATTGGTTCTGACTCACATTGACCCTGTGTGAGAGTAGAACTACCCCATATGAGTTCTTGGCTATCATCGTTGCAGGAGCAGATTGCCAAGTCTTTCCAAACCGCCAGCCTTTCAGATAGCAGCCCAGAGTCTAACCTTGCTCCAGCAGGGTTTCTTAGGAGTTCTAAATCTAGACTGATACTGATACTGATATGATTCAGTATGACTAAATGAGACTTAATTGGGAAAATTCATTTGTAATAGTCAGGGCTTGTGACTTGTTTTATGTCTATTTGAAATTTAACACTTACCTTCAATTTTGAAGCTTCTGGTCAATATGATATATATGTAGAATACTTAAAGGGAGACACAAAAAAAAACCAAAAAAAGATGAGTGTGGGTTCTAAAGTTAGAATGTTTGAGTTCAGTGTTCAACTTTAGTTCTTCCCAATTTAATGGTCTTCAGTAAGTGATCCTTTAAATTGATGCTAATCATGATACTTAAAGGATTCTTACAAGATTTAAATAAGATGATGTATATAATGATTTTTAAATGGGACTCATGAACAGCAAAACAAAGTAAAAAGCCATCAAATGTTCCTCTGTCTAATAGAGTTTTAACTCCTGGTGACCCTCCATCAAGATTCTGAGGTTACAAATCTTTACAAGAGGACACCCTCTTTCTCCTGTGGAGTGACTGGTAGATTCCAACTGCCAATCTTTTGGTTGGCAGTCCAACAAATAAAACACTTCTCCATCACACTATAAATAAGAAATTAAATTACTTATACTTAAATAATAATAGCAACCACAGTCATATAGAAATTGCAGTCATACTTCAGACTTCTTTAAGACATTCATGTATCTAGTCCATAGATATCTAGTCTATAGTTATATCTATATATTATTGTTGTGAGTAACAGTGCATTGGAACCGACCCATAACTGACCTCCCAGTGTGTGTTCAGAGGCAGTAAAGTGCATGGAATGAGATTGCCCATCTTTCTCCTGTGGAGAAGCTGGCAGATTTGAACCATGCACCTTTGCCTTTGTAAGCTCAGTTCCTTACCACTAAGCCACCAAAGGTCACTCACTCTATATGTACTGAATTCCACTTACTTTGAAACTAACAAGCTATTTGAACAGAGCAAGGGAATAATAACATGATTTAAAATAAAAAAAGGTATATGTAAGGGTTTTATCCTCACTCTGTGCCTATTAAGTTTGTGTGTTGAACAAATTATCGAGAAGCTGGACTCTATAAAGAAGAATGTGACATCAGGATGAAAGTGGTGGTTGTTGTTAGATGCCATCCACAATGTACAATCCACAATGACCCTATGAACTACTGATCTGAACCCTGTCCTGTCCTGTGCCACTCTCACACTTCATGACACACTAGAGCCCGTTGTTGCATTTAATCACTGTGTCAATCTGTCTGGTTGAGTATCTTCTTATCTTTTACCACCAACCCTCTGTCTTTCCAAGCATGATGTCCTTCAAGGAATAGCCTCTCCTAGCAACATGCCCAAAGTATGTGAGATAAAGCTTTGTAATATTTGCCTCTAAGAAGTACTCAGGCAGCATTTTCTCTAAGATAATATCTGTTTGTTCTTTTGGCAATCCATGGAGCATTCAATACTTTTCTCCTCAAAGGCATCAGTTCTTCTGTCATCCTTATTCATTGTCCATTTCTCAGATGCATAGCATGTGAAAAGACTATGGCCTTAATCAGATGCACCTTAGTCCTCAAACTGATGTCACTTTTCCTTAATAATTTACAGAGGTCCCTGACTGTGGACTTTATCAATACAGTGCATCCTCTGATGTGTTATCAACTACAAGTATGTTGATTGGTACCAAGCATATTGATTGTGAATCAAAGTAAGGTGAAGTCATTGGCAGCTTCCATTTTTTCTCCATGTATCATAATGTTGCCTATATGTCCAGTGGTGAGAATATTGTTTTCTTGACTTTGAGATGTAGTCATCTTGAAGGCTCTAGTCTTTTATCTTCTGCAGCAAGTGCTTCAAGCTATCCTCACTTTCAGGAAGCAAGGTTTTGTCACCTGTATAACACAGGTTGTTGATGAGTCTTTCTCCAATTCTGATGCTGCATTCTTCTTCATACAGTGCAACTTCTCAAATAATTTGCTCAGCATACAGATAATACCCTTAGGCATTCCTTTCTTCCTTTCTTTTTTAATTGAGATTTTAATGAAAGTTTACAGAGACTTTGGATTTCCAGTCATTCATTGTTGCTTAATTTCCTCCCTGCCCACCCCTCCCCCCAGTTCTCTTTTCTCTTTGAAAAGAAAAAAAATCTTTCATTGTTATACACTCCCCCCCACCCCCTACCACCTAGTCTTCTTTACTATGCAGCTCTTATTCTGGACTCTTGTCATGAAAATGATACTTAATCATATATTCCTTTTAAACAGGTCTTTCCACCATCTGTTTCAATACAGTGTACATTATTTATCATCTCTTTTCTTAGGTTCCTCCTAATCCCAATGTCAGTTCCATTTTACAACAGTGGCACTATGCAGTATTTGTCCTTTTGTGACTGAGATATTTCACTTAGTATAATGTCCTCCAGGGTCACCCCATTTTGTGTAATATTTCATGAGTTCCTTGGTTTTCAATGCAGCATAGTATTCCATTGTGTGACTATACTACAGCTTCTCTATCCATTTGTTTGTTGATGGGCACTTGGGTTGTTTCCAACTCTTTGCTATTGTGAACAAAGCCACAAAACATATGTATACATATATCTGCTTAGGTGGCAGTTATGATTTCTTTAGTAGTGGATTTGCTGAGAAATACCAATGGTATTTCCATTAGCAACTTTTGGAGAAAGTGCCATACTGCCTTCCATAGTGGTTGCACCATTTTACACTCCCACCATCAGTGAATAAGGGTTTCAGTTTCTTTACGATCTCACCAGCACTTGTTTGCTGCTCTGTTAAATTTTGCTATTGTTACTGGGGTTAGATGATGTCTCATGGTTGTTTTGATTTGCATCTCTCTTAAAGGTAGGGATTTTGAATATTTCTTCATGTGTTTGTTTTTCATCTGAATGTCTTTTTTGCTGAGGGCACTCCTTTTTAAATTTTAAACCATGTAATGTTCCCTTGCTCTGTTTGCACAATAGCCTCTTGGTCTAGGTATAGGTTTTGCATGAGCACAGTTAAGTGGTTTTGAATTTCTGTTCTTCTAAATGTTAGCCATAACTTGTTATGATCCACACAGTCAAATGCCTTTGCATAGTCAATAAAGCATAAATAGACATTATCCTTTACTTTCAGCTGGGAGCCATCTGTCATCAACAATGATATGCCTAGAGCCAGAGAGGAGAAAATGGAAAACTTTACCAAATCTTGCACTTTGAAAATTGACCAAACATGCAGTCAAGATGTGTTAATGATAATTGGTGACTGGAATGCAAAACTTAGAAACAAAAATGATTGGTAATTAGAAAGTAGGGACTTGATGAGAGAAGTGAGTCTGGAAAGAGAATGATCAAATTTTGTATGCTCATTTATTTATTCATCTCAAATACCTTTTTTAAAAAAAACACCACAAATGGCAGCTGTACACCTGCACCTCACCTGATGGGCTGCATACGATTCAGATTGACTACATTTGTGGAGGAAATTGTTGGAGAAGCTCAATATCAGCACTCAAAACTAAGCCAGGGGTGG